AGGTGGAGAGAGAAGGGGGAATTGTCATTGGTCTTGCTGGTGCATATCTTCTTCTTCTTCTTCTTCTTCTTCTTCTTCTTCTTCTTCTTCTTCTTCTTCTTCTTTCTCTCTCCTCTGGTCTTTATCTCTTTGCAAGTGCTTTCATTTCTTTCGCAAATGGGTGGCATTGTCTTTCATTGTGAATTTGCACTTGGGAAATGACCAGGATCGTAACAATTGGTATCGGAGCGGACTTACTTGCTGGCGAGAGGTGCTAGTCACCCTAAACCTAATTCCGAATTAGGTCAGGGCTAACCTAACTTCGGATTAGGGTTGGAAGTTAGGGTTAAGTGGGGCAGTGAGGTATGTGGATACTGCCCCCACCTGGTTAGGTCATGTAGRGWMGACATTTGACCTGACCAGGTTGACTGAGTGAATGGATGGGGTGGCGAGACACAAAGGAGGCTGATTGGAGTAAGCGAGAGGGAGTAGAGAGTGAGAGGTACTCACACCTGGAATCTGCACTTCAAGAAGACATTGAGTGACTTTTGGGCTTCCCCTCAAGAGGGAGACTTGATCGGAGGCTGCCATATCTGCATCGGATTGCTGCAAGTTGCTACTTTGGTCTTCAGACATCGACGGGGGATCCGGCTTTGCAACAGGCGTGTAGGAAGGCCCTCTTAGTCATGCTAGGACACTTCGTGTAGTGGTAGCTAGGGGTCAGGAGGACTTATGAGAGAGGGGGGTGACTCGTTATCCATCTTTGGAGGCCGGGCCTCACAGGTAAGTGTCGTGTGACCTGGTTATGCCCGTGGGAGGTTGCTTGGTACTTCATGGCCTGTTGGGGGTGTGCTGGGCTCTCTTCCTCTTCTCTGCGGTCTTGGTTGTGTGTGTGAGCATGTGGATTGCTTTCTCACCTGATGGATGGATGGATGATGTATCTACTCTAAATGACATGTCTTTCTACGGTGCATTGTCTTTTCATTTCTGAACGGCTGTAGGGGCAAGTTCTTGCTGAAAGTTGTCTTCTCCTTTTCAGTATGGTAGAGGCAGTTTGGGACCGACTTGGTACCCCTATCACATTGGTCCTGGTCCACGACCTACTTGGGACCCCTCGGGACCTAGTGGGACCAGGCCCAATGGGACAGGACCTTCGGGCCCAAATCTGTTGCCGCCTGAAAATTTCTTTGCTGCGCTGAATTTGGGGGACATACGGATAGCAAGGGCATTCCTTTCAAGGGGATCTTGACTGGCCTTACCGCATGTTAGCACATACTGCCCCGCGTCTGGCTCGGCGACCGTCTGCACCCCTCAAAATCTCCATTGTTGCAGTTAGCTTTCTTCAGCTGATTTATTGTGATACATGTCCCTTGTCAGGTTAGACAAGAGGGGATCTCCAGCTAAACTGATCGGGCCTGTTCTATAAGTCAACCCTCTCTTCCGGTTTTTTTTTTTATTATTATTATTTATTCTTTTATTCCGCTGCGTGCCATTCTCTAAGTCCAAATGAATCGCCGCTCCGGCTAGGAGTTCTACCTTCTTCTCTGTGTGATTTTTTGCTTGTTTCTTTCATCTGAACTATCTATGTCCGGTATCGAGACGCGTGCGCAGACAACTAAGAGAGAGAGAAGGGAGAGAGGTGTTCTGTTTGAGAGTGTGAGGAGGGGCAAGAGGAGTGTTCGTCCAAATGTAAGGAGAGAGCGGACCCTTCTTGAGAGATCTACTGACACCCCTTCCTCCAGCATGGCAAACATCACATCTGCCCAATGGCAGGCCATGCTGGATGCAACAGATGAAAACGAGAGACCGTTCTTCCAGAAGCTTTATGATGATGCCGTGCAGAGGGAGAGGGAGGCAGAGGCAGCAGCTAGAGCCGCCAACATTGCTGATCAGATGACCCTCCTTCGGATCCCGGAAGCCAATGCTGACCGGTTCCAGGAGGGACTAGCTGCTGCCGTAGCAGCCTTGGTTCGACTGCGGACCTTGGAAGACCTTGACTCCCGTGTGACAGCACTAAAGCAGCGGAACCAAGAGCTGCAGGTTGAAATAATCAGCCTCAAACAGTCCCAACTGTCTGCCCCCTGCCCTCCTAACCCTCGACCTGCTGCAGTCCCAGTCTCTCAATCTAACACAGTCCTCGAGGCAAGAGCAAGTGGAACTGTGACGAGCGCAGAGACCGGTGCCAGCTCCTCGAGCGGCAGCGCCGGCAGCTCTGCACTAGTCATAGTCCCAAATGCAGGGACATCAGCCCAAAACGCCGCAGTCCTCACTGGCGTTCAGTACAACGGTCCCGTAGTGGACAAGCGGGCGGCCACCTTGCCGTCCAAGTACAACGGGAAAGCGGATATCACCTCTTGGATTAGTTCCATGCGGTCATACTTCGAGGTCATGCGGACACCGCAAGAAGACCGAAGCATGATCATGGCCACTAATACTGAGCCCGCCGTACGGAATCACATTGAACTCCAAGTTGTTGCTGCAGGTTATGAAAGAATTGACTTGACTGAGTGGCTGAAGGTAACCCCTGTACGCGCCCTTGAGGACCTTCTCATCACACGGTACCAAGATAAGCATGCTGCGCTCAAGGCTAGGCTGAAGCTTGAGGCCCTCAAGGGCCAAACATGGAGGTCCTCCATGCAGGCTTTGGAACAACACTTGACCGGTCTGTTCACTACTCCAGATCTGGGAATGACCGACGTGTCTTGTATGGATGTAGTCATGGGAGTGGCCCCTAAAGAATATCTCTCCCTGCTAGGACTCAAAGACCATACTACTTGGCGAGAGCTCATGACGGATCTAGTCAACCTAGAGGCCAAGGACCTCGCCAGGCGTAAGAAAGCGCCCGCTGCAGGTGGAAAACCACAACGCAAGCGGTATGGAGGCAGCAACCAGCTTGCACTTCATGAATATCGGGAGGTTGAAGATCAGTCCTACGCGGATGATCTGTCTCTGGATGAGCCGGACTTCGATATGGGCTGTACCACATCAGCCATTGAGTCTAACGTAAACGAAGACGAAAAACTTAATGCTTTTAGAAAGACTGCTTCAAACAAGGGGCCTAACCATGGTTCGGGTAAGGGAACTGTTGTCCACGTGCCCAAGAACGCGAAGATCCCTGAAAAAACGGAGGATGCGTCTACCAAGTCTTGGGAAGCCCTCCGTATCAGTCAAAAGGAATGGGAAAGAAGATCTAAACTGCGCATATGCTTGCATTATCAAAAGTCTGGGCATGCTGTGCAAGACTGTTATAGACTTCAGGGAAACAAGCAAAGGGCGTAGAGGAGTCATCAGCACTCCCTACAACAAGGGAAGCTGGAACATTAGTTGCAGGCCCCTCTAATGAGCTTGAATCTGATCAACAACCTACTCTTGAAGCCCGTAACGACGCTGATTCCGAGGCTGCTGCAGTTCATGTGCTATACACTGAGCCTTGGGAGGAGTATAAGGAAGTTGACTTCCACGCTCACATGGGACATTGGCTGCAGCTCAAGCAGCAACGCCGTGTTCAAGGGAGTGTGGAGCTAACCTTCTTTAAACTGCTCATTAACCGTCGATACATCTGCGTGTTGATCGATAGTGGTTCAACCTCTAATTTCTTTTCTCCTAACGAGATTCGTAAGGCGGGCCTGGGAATAAAGCAAGTGGAACTGAAGAACCCTTGTCAGACCCAGGTGGGCAACCAAGAGGTTGTCACCTCTACACATGCTGTCAAAGGTGTGCGCGTCACCTTTGACAAGGACCGCACTGTCACACATGAGCTCAACTTCTATGTCATGGACAAGTGTCCGTTCGACGCAGTCATTGGCTTGGGCTGGCTAAAGGCTCATTGCTTAAGGACCACGTGGGCGGACAATCAGTTCGTGGTGTGTGATGCCAAGGGGAACGAGCGTACCGTCTTATTGGATGAGACGCGCGAGTCCCCTGTGACTCTTCTAAGTGCAAACAAATTCTGCAAATCAGTGCGCAGGCGCAAGGAGGTTGAGCATGTACATATAGCCTTTGTAAAGCCTCTCCATGTGCCTTCTACTTTTGCTGCATTTTCTACCTCGGTAAGTAACTCTACTTCTACCACCTCTACTTCTAATCTACTTCTACTGTGAGTAATCCCTCTACTTCTTATCCAAGTACCTCAAACCCGGTTGTAATTGTTGTAAATTCTCAAACTGATTTTCTTTCTCCTGATGAGGACGATCCTCCACCAGAAGTCCCAACAAACATTCGCCAGCTATTAGATCGATTTTCTGAAGTTTTGGCCAAACCTCGTGGAGTTCCCGAGCGTCCGGTCAAACACAAGATCGAGATAATAGAAGGGAGTATTCCTCCAAAGGGCTGCGTCTACCATATGGGACAAGGCGAGTTGGAGGAGTTGAGGAGGCATATTGATGACATGATCGATCGTGGATGGATTAGGCCTAGTGAGTCTGAGTTCGGTGCACCTGTCCTGTTTGTGCCGAAGAAAGGAGGCGAACTTCGGATGTGCATTGACTAGATTACAATAATATATTATTCATATTAATTATTTATATTAATTATTCATATTAATTATAGAGTCTATTTAATAGTATAGACTCTATTGATTGCATATTTATAGTGATATTCTCTTATTTATATTTATATTCTCTATTTATGTGGTTTGTATGATTTATATGATATATATAGTATAAGTATAATATAAATTCAATAAAGAATATAAATTCAATAAAGAATATAGTTTATTTATTAATATACAATAATTCAATGATTATTTTATATTATTTCTATTTCATTATTGTTATTTACCAAGGTAGACCCATGAAATGACACCTTTTGTCATAGACAAGTTGATATCGTGGCCTAAACCGGATCACCCGGAAGAACGCGTATCCCTTGCTTCGTATAGATGATCTGCTACATGTTGCAGGTGGGTGCAAGGTCTTTTCCAAGATCGACCTCAAATCTGGCTACCACTAGATTGAAGTTGATCCGAGTGACCAGCACAAGACTGCATTCAAGACACACGATGGGCTGTGCGAATTCATCGTTATGCCCTTCGGTCTTACGAATGCACCAGCCACGTTTCAGAGCCTCATGGACAAGGTACTCCGCCATCAGCTCAACAGGTTTGTGGTTGTGTACCTTGATGATATTACGATTTTCAGCAAGTCCATGGAAGAGCACCTCAAGCACCTTGAGGAGGTCTTGCATGTCCTCAAGGAGGCACAACTGCACCTCAACTTAGAGAAATCTGAGTTCGGAAGGCACAGCGTCATCTATCTTGGACACCGGTTGTCTGCAAACGACCTTGAGCCGGAGGCAACCAAGGTGGAGGTCATACAAAATTGGCCTCAACCAGCGAACGTACGCGGACTACGTTCTTTTCTTGGTTTGGCTTCATACTACCGGAAGTTTGTGCCAAAATTTTCTGTCATTGCTCACCCACTCTCCAGAATAACCAGTAAGAATGTTGTCTATGCGTGGTGTGAGAAGTGTGAGACTGCGTTCCAAGCCTTAAAAGAGGCATTGGTGAGTCATCTTGTGCTCCGCATTGCGGATCCCAACCTCACGTTCGTAGTCACTACGGACGCGAGCCAGTTTGGGATTGGTGCAGTGCTGCAACAAGATGATGGTGATGGCTTGCGTCCGCTCGAGTATTACAGCAAACGCATGCCCAACTACAAGGTAGCCACTTACACATACATGCGTGAGCTCTACGCCTTGCGCGAGGCGCTCACACATTGGACGCACCACCTCTTGGGTCGGCACTTCAAGGTCTACTCAGATCATCAGACCTTGCAGTGGATTAAGACACAAACTGATCTCTCTCCTACGCTGACCCGTTGGTTGCATGACATTGATGTGTACAATTTTGAATTGAAACATAAGAAAGGCTGTTATAATCGCGTTGCTGATTCTTTGTCACGTCACCCTGAGTTTTTGACTTCCCTTATGGGTTCGTATGACCTCCGAAGGAAATTGAAGGAGGATCTGATCGAACACACCGCCAAGGATCCGGACCTTAGTCCCATCCTTGAGCAGCTCAAGGCTGACCCTAATAGTCAGCCTGATTTTCATGAGTGCGAGGGTCTTGTATTGTGCCGGTATGGGAAGTTTGATCGTTTGTGTGTACCCAACCATGCGCCTCTCCGGACTCATTTCTTGGATTTGGCACATGGTCGGAGTGGACACTTCGACTTTGAGAAGACTTATGGAAGCCTTCTGCAGCAGTTTGATTGGCCAGGAATGAAAGGATCCGCTCATAAATTTATTGTTGAATGTCAGGTATGCCAAAGAACCAAAGTCCACAGGCATAAGCCTTATGGCCTGCTGAGACCCCTCCCCATTCCGGATGGACCCGGTGAGTCGATTTCCATCGACTTCACTGACATGGGAAGGTGAGTGAGGCTGGAAATTCACAAGTTATGGTCATCGTGGACCGTTTTTCCAAATTTCTGAACTTGATTCCTTTCCCTCCCCATGCCCCGACTGAACTTGTCATTGAAGAATTCCATCAGCAGTACATTCTGCAGTTTGGGGTCTCGAAAACTATTTTGAGTGATCGGGACACCAGATTCATCAGCAAAGATTGGAAGGACTTCACCTCTCAAATCTATGACATTAAACTGAACCCGAAGCCAATGGATTGGCCGAGGAGATCAACCAGACTGTCATCCAACTACTTCGCGCATTGATTGTTCTAGATTAGAACACGTGGGACAAGGAGCTGCACAAAGTGAAGGGACTGTATAACAACTCCATTCACTCTGCAACTGGCGTGACACCAAACCAGTTGCAATATGGATGGCCGATCCGTAATCCCCTCTCCTATTTGTTCCCCGAACGGTCACCTGGTCTGATGCCCGGCATGCCTGGCTACAATGCCAAGTACGCACGCTTGCTCAAGGCTGTTATTGCAGCCATGAACAAGCGCCAGCATGCCATGATCAAACACGCCAACAAGTTGCGCAAAGAAGAAAAATTCAAAGTAGGGGATTATGTTTGGGTTAAAATGTCTGAGTTTTCTGATGAAGAGGCCATATCACGAAAACTCCTTCCATTGTATTATGGCCCTTGGCATATTCTGAAGGTGATTGGGGATGATTTTGGTCCTTCATATGTGATTGACGTGCCTCCTCATCTGCGCACGTATCCGGTCTTTCATGCGTCCAAACTGTTCCCACACATTGATGATGAGACGTTTCCCTTCCGAGACCCTATGATACCTCGCTCTATCGACGGCGGCCATGAGATAGACAGAATCGTTTTTCACGAGGGAAGAGGGGGGAACAGAAAGTACAAGGTTCACTTCCTCTATCACCCGTTGACTGAATTCTTCTGGATCGACCGAAAAGAGCTGCTAAAGAGTGCTCCTCGTGTTGTGAACGCTTACGAACGACAGATCGCTGAGGGACAGACTGCTAAATTTGTTGCAAAAATGACTCCTCATGGACTTCTAAGTCTCTCTTTCTGATTTATTCCTACGATGCATTTTGTGCCAACTCTGAATTAGTTACTCGCTCGAAGGGACCTCGCTCTTGAGAGGGGGGTAATGTAATGACCCGCCAAAAACACAGACTGAGAACACTGCTGATTTCTGGGATTTGCCGCTGGAATGAATGCCTTGTTGAAATTCCCGCATTCTGCTGTGATTTCCATGTCTGTGTGTGTGTGCGTGCCTGCTGGTTTGCATGCCTGTCTGAGTGCTTGTAGGTTGAGTGTGTGTGTGACCCGCAAGGGTACTTGTTGGTTGCAAGGCCCCGCAGGGCCGGTACTTACCTGTGGCCGTGACTGTGAAGGGTTGCAG